ATAAATAAATCCTTTAAAAAAATTGTTCACTACCCCACACTTTGTTTTAGGTATGTCCCCCTTGGGGAATAGGTCCACCGACTCATCATTTTAAGCTTCCAGGGAGAGCATATACCAATTCCCCATACTGTCAACTGAACAATTGACATGACTTCAAAAGTTTCACCAGGAGTCCACATATAATCTACCACAAGAGGGCATCAAACTGAAATTGTTTTCATCTAATTTTTATTTATTTATTTTTAAAGATTTTATTTATTTATTTGACAGAGAGATAGAGAGCACAAGTAGGCAGAGGGAGAGGGAGAAGCAGGCTCTCCGCCGAGCAGGGAGCCGGACGTGCGGCTCGATCCCAGGACCCCAGGATCATGACCTGAGCCGAAGGCAGCTGCTTAACCGACTGAGCCACCCAGCCGCCCCTAATTTAACTTTTAAAAAAATGTAAAATCTTTCTGATTTACTGAAATTGTTAACAAGGAACACTTAATTACCACTAACAATGATATTTAAAGTTTTTTGACTTTATAAAAATAATAGTCAAAAATCACAGCATGAAAAAAAGACACCCTTATCTGTCTGGAATCTTCACTAAGCTTTGTATACTTTATTATGTATCAAGAAAGGCAATTTCAGGGGCACCTGGATGGCTCAGTAGGTAGAGCATGCAACTCTTGATCTTGGGGTCATGAGTTCAAGCCCCACATTAGAGTAGTTTACTTAATAAAAAAATATATATATTTAAAAAAAAAGAAAGGCAATTTCAGGGAATGAGTAAAGCTTTCAAAGAAAATAAATCAAATGAATAGCTTCACTACCAAATATAGAACTTAAAGAATTTTACTGTTCAATTTAAAAAAGTAGATTTCATCTCATCAATAATGTATCAAAAATCCATCCATAGGTGCTTCAAAGGTGACTTAAGTCCTCTGATATAATTACAAAGGTTTACACACATTTAACTACATTTAAAGAATCTTCTCTCCTACTTGTCTGAGTTTTGTTTTAATACTAATACTGATTTATCAGGGAACAGAACTTTTTTAGAATGCCACTTATATTTTCAAAAAGTGTCTTTGTCTCAAATTTTTAAAGATCTCAGAAATATCCAGTCCAGGTACAGCAAAAGTCATTATACTATCTCCACCCACCCCAACCCCCAGTCATAAGCATTGATTTTAACAACTAAAACAATGTAAGTTACAGACATCTCAAGATGATGCCTTGGAAACTAGACTACAGTATAAAATTTGTTAACTGAAAATATTCTTATAAACAGGTTCTGAGAAAAAATTCCAGGTCTCACTTACTAATAGCCACAGAGTCTTGGGCAAGCCCTAGGGCAAGTTATTTAACCTGTCTGAGCTTTAGTCTCTTCATCTATAAAATGCAGACAAAAATAACACGTACTTTATTGGGTTTTTGCAAGGATTAATGAAAAAAATGTAAATAAAATGCTTAGAGCACTATGAGGCACATATTAAGTGCTCAATAAATGTTGTTGGCTATTCATTACTAGTCCATCACCTACTGGTTCCACCTTCAGGTCCCTAAAACCTAGGCCTAGACCTTACAATTATATTGTAATAAATCTTACAGATGTCAAGGCCTTTCGATATTTGGACAAAGCGCCTCTGGAATCTCTCTGGCCCAAAAGGACTAGACAGAGAAGGAATTGAGAAGCAGGGAGAATAAACATCCCAAAGGATGAGGAAGGGCAGGATAGGGAAGGGAAGTATAGGAAGGGAAAATAGGAGCACAGAATAAATTTCACTTACTTCCTAATTTGTTCACAGCGGACCCGAAGACTCTGAGCCCTTTCGAGAGGACATTTGAGACTGAGTATGAACATGGTCTGTTAACTGCTGAATGTCTATAGAAAAGGACAAGCACCAGGCTCCCTGATGGGCAATGTCACTGACTTTTCACTTAAAATGAAATAGAGCATTAAACTTCAAACCAAAACATGGTTACAGTGATCTCACCAACTGTAATGACCTTGCCAACAAAAAACTCCCATGCTACCACCTCCATAGCAAGAGGTCAAAAAGATGGCACGATAAAACATGACTAGATATTTGGGGGGGGTGGGGCAAGACAAAAATTACACAGATTTTTAAAAATAACTGATCTGGGGCACCTGGGTGGCTCAGTTGATTAAGCATCTGCCTTCGGCTCAGGTCATGATCCCAGGGTCCTGGGATCGAGTCCCACATCAGGCTCCCTGCTCAGCGAGGAGTCTGCTTCTCTCTCTCCCTCTGCCCAATCTGGCTCCCCCGCTCCCCCACTCATGCTCTCTCTCTCTCTCAAATAAAATATTTTTAAAAAATAAAAAATATAAAAATATAAAAATAACTGATCCAAATCAAAAGATGCAAAATATACATTTTAAAACTTCATACTCTTTCTCTTATCAGTTTCTGAATTAAGGTAATAGACTAAATCCAAACATCTCATTTTGCTCCCTCCTGAAACCCTATCTTTGAACCGCTAAAGAAGTATTTTTTAAAACATTAAACTCACAAGGATAGAGAAAAGAGCAGAGGAAAGAAAAAAAATTTGGAAGCAGGAAAGCAAACGGACGAGTGATAACTGCCGTTAGCAGAGCCAAGAAAGCCCAATCCCATCACCCCCAAGGGTGATGCTGAGAACCAATAATCACAATCCCCAAAAGACACTAAAAATGGAAAAGGGGGCATCTACAGCAGAGAACTGCTTCAAAGCTGCTTAATGAGCAGATCCCTAGACCACCTATATCTATCCTCTTCAGCCACTAAAGGCTTAGTCTCCCAAAGGAGGTAACACTGAAGTTCTCTGGACTAGGGTACACCAGTCCTCTGCTCAGGTATGAACAAAGGTACTACTGTACGGAAAATCAAACACCAAGGGGCTATACCAGTCAGATCTTCATGCGCCAAGTAGGACACCAGAAAAGGCCTCTCTGGGCCATCTGACCAGCTCAAGAAAAAGGACTAAAAATAGTGAGTGACATCAGTGACGCCCAATAAAATAGGTTAAGAAAATCACCCAGTGAGGGGCGCCTGGGTGGCTCAGTTGGTTAAGCGACTGCCTTCGGCTCAGGTCATGATCCTGGAGTCCCGGGATCGAGTCCCGCATCGGGCTCCCTGCTCGGCAGGGAGTCTGCTTCTCCCTCTGACCTTCCTCCCTCTCATGCTCTCTGTCTCTCATTCTCTCTCTCAAATAAATAAAATCTTTAAAAAAAAAAAAAATAGTAATAATAATAAAAGAAAATCACCCAGTGGTTAAGCTCAAAACTGATAAGGCCTACCCACTTGCTCAGAGCTTCCAATCAGCTGTATAATACCACAATGTTAATCAGGATCAGGAAATTATGAATTAATAATCTGAGGATGGAAGAGACCAAAACAAATCCCAGGAAGAAGCAACAGAAGAAACAGAGATTATGCACAGAGGGGAAAACACACACACACACACTCATACACACAAAAGTATCATTAATATCCTCAGAAAAGATTTAAAAAAATATATCCTCAGAAAAGAGAAAAAATTATTATATCCACGAAACAAAAACAGGATTTTATTACTTTTTTAAAGGAGGAAGATTCTAAGACCAAAAGAGCTCTTAGAAAAAAAAAATATGATAGCAAAAAAGAAAAACTAAATAGTAGGACTGGAAGACTAAGTTAAGGAAATCTAGAAAAACTGAGCAACACCCCCATACACACACACACACACACACACACACACACACTCTCTCACTCACTCACACTCCAAAGAAGAACAAAGACAAAGAGGAAAACTGGAGAAAAAAGATAAGAAAACCAGAAGACCAAAATAGGAAGTCCAGTGTTCAATAAAATAATGGCACAAGGTAAATACAACAGGGAAAAGGGGTGGAGGAAGTCTTCAAGAGAAATTCTCAACTGAAGGACTCAACTGCCAGATTGAAAGTACCCACCAAACACCCAGTGGATGAAAAAAGACTCACACAAGGCCATACCACTCTAAAACTGCAAAACACTACAAGAGAAGATTCCACAAGCTTCCAGATAAGTCCAAACCAGTCACACACAATCAATGACTGGATTCAGATTTTCAACAGCAACCCTGCAAGACAACAACTGCACAAAAAACTCAGAAGATCTCTGCTTACTCTGTACCATTTTTATAATCAAAGGGTGAGCCCAACTAAGATTCTTATCTCTACCTGGCTTGCTTGCCCAGGTACTGATGAAGTTCCTGCTCTCTTCTCCATGCCCTACTCTGATTTCATCCCACCACAGATTTTCTGATTTGACCTAATTCTGAGAGCTGAAAGAAGGCTTTGAAGACTTCAGAAGCTGAAAATTACAAAGTAGCCCACTACCTTCGATCGTATTTCTACAAGATGTCAAAACCAAGTCCCCACTACAACCCTGCCCAACATCTGACTGAGGTACATGCTCTGCTTTTCCAGACTGCCTCCTAACCTTCCCACTGACCTGCCTGGAAGAGCCCCTTAAAAACCCTCAGAAAAGCAGAAGCCTATGAACATGAGTCTGTTGAGCTTATCTTTTCCTGCAAGATTACAACTAATAATGACAAAACTGATCTTTCATAAGACAGCCGGTTTGTTCTTGCCAGTCCATTTTACGTACAGATATAGCAAAAGTAAAAAGAGAAGCAAGAAAATCTTAACACCAAAATTAGGGTGAAGATTACCTCAGGATAGGCTGTAGGGAACATAACCAGGGAAGGGCCCACAGTGGCATCTGCGTTGTAATAATTCTAATTCCTACACCACCAGGCAATTAATAGACTGGTGTATAATTTGCCTTTTTTCATAAATTTTTTTCTTTCTTTGTAATTTAAGAAACTTTTAATGCATTTATTTCTTCAAGTTAGAAATTATGTAACTATGTAACTCATTATTAAGTCACAAAAGTTTATATTACATCAGCAGCATAGCTCTGTTCTATCAGTCATTAAGGAAACTGGCTTAATTTTAAATACATACAAAAATTAAGACCAGATTTACTTACATTATGAGTCTTCGGTTTAGGAACCAGTATTTCCTCCGACTCCTGTCATATCCAATAGGTTCATGTCGAATATATGGTTTGTTTTTTTGGATTTCAGCAACACAGTCAGTCACACCAGGCACCTTATGTGCTACACAGACTTCACACTGCCATTCGTCCTCTGGTACCTCCTCAAGAGGTGGTTTCACACATTCCAAATGGTATACTGCTGAACATGTCTCACAGCAAAGCAAATCCCCAAGTTTGTGACAAACCCGACAATGGTCATCATACTGGATCACCCCTTCAGACATCAATTCCTCACGAGCAATATTTGTGGTAAGAAACTGATCGACTAAGAACTGCAGAACTTTGATTTTGTTCTCTACTGGTCCATAGGGATAGTCCTCTGCTTCTTGGTAAGGAAGAACATGATGGTACTCCTTATCACTCTCACAGTACACCCGCAGCACCTCTGGCCACGTCATCCCATCTATGAAATACAGCGTGGAATTAACGCTATCTTTCAGATCAGCAGGCCCAAAGGTAGTATTGGAAGTGTCTTCTTCACGCAAAACCGCTTTCAGAAGCACAACGTGCATCTCCGCCATAAGTGTGCACTGCTCTTGACTCACCAGAGCTGCACAGAAGTCCTCAAAGCGAAAAGGAGATAACCTTAAAACAGTGCCAAAGTTCCGCAGTACCTCATAAATGGCAATAACATTCATTATATGCTCATTAGGCACCATTAAATCCTCAGAGGACTTGGGAAATTCAAGGGGTGGGATGTCTTTTTCTTCCAATATCGGAGAACGAGGCCGATGTACTCTTGGTTTTCGCCTACCTGTAAAGAAAGAAATGGCATAATTACAAATCAGTACATCGTTTCTTTTTTAAAAATATTTAAGTAATCTTTACACCCAAAGAGGGGTTCGAACTCACAACCCTGAGATCAAGAGTCACATGTTCCTCCAACTGAGTGAGCCAGGTGCCCCACAAATCAGTACATCATTTCTAAAAACTAAGAGTTTTCTAAAAGTTTTTCCTATCTGGACATATACCTCAAAAAATAAATAAGCATACTTCTATTTTTCTAGTAACTGTCAAGTTAAAATAATACCAATAAGTAATGATTTAGCTCTAATTTTTAAGTCTATAAAAAATCTGAATTCGAAGTTTTCCCATTATATTACAAACAAGTAAAAAATTTTCAATTATACTCAGCTCTCAATTATCTAGAGGGGTTAACTGGTGTAGAGGTAACCATGATAAAAAATAACTGTGTTTATGAAAGATCTGAAAAGAACATAAATGAGAAAAAACATCCCCATGTAAGATAAGAGGCACAACAGAGCTCATACTGTGTCTGCTGCGATACAGAAATGCTGCTCAACAACCAGACAGGAAGTTCTCTGGTGAAGCACCCCTTTTCCTCTGCCAGAAATGCTTCCTGAAAGCCACGTATCGGGGGAGTTCCACAGGGAAGCACAAATTTAGGACTGAAACAGAAAGGAAGGAGGAAGTAGGAGAGGAGAGTCCCAGTGCTGGGAGAAGGAAAAAGGGAGGTTCAGGTAGGAAACAGACAACAGACTATGTATATTTTTTAGCAGTCAGTTAAACAACTGTAGGCGCCTGTTCCCCAATTTATGAGATGTGATGTCCAAGAATATATAATGTATGCATATAAATGTATCAATATTTAGCACATTTGAGAACTTTGTACCAAACATAGATACTTTTAATTCTCTGAATGAGTCTATGAGGCATTTTAATAAGCCCTGCCATATAAATAAGAAAACTTGTTGAGGGCGCCTGGGTGGCTCAGTTGGTTAAGCGACTGCCTTCGGCTCAGGTCATGATCCTGGAGTCCCGGGATCGAGTCCCACATTGGGCTCCCTGCTCAGCAGGGAGTCTGCTTCTCCCTCTGACCCTCCTCCCTCTCATGCTCTGTCTCTCATTGTCTCTCTCGCAAATAAATAAAATCTTAAAAAAAAAAAAAAAGAAAACTTGTTGAAAGAAACAAGTTTCTGGGGTGCCTCGGTGGCTCAGTTGATTGAGCATTTGCCTCTGGCTCAGGCCATGGTCCCGGGGTCCTGGGATCAAGCCCTGAGCTGGGCACCCTGCTCAGTGGGAGGCTACTTCTCCCTCTCCCGCCCTCTTGTGCTCTCTCTCGCTATCTCTGTCACTATGTGTCTCTCTCTTTCAAATAAATACATAAAATCTTAAAAAAAAAAAAAGTTTAAAAAAAGGAAGAAACAAGTTTCTCCTAAATGGCTATACCTGCATTACTATTATTATCATTATTATACTTTCCAATGATGTTTACAGAATAGGAAATGCATTTTTAAATATCAGAAATAGGGATGCCTGGGGCGCCTGGGTGGCTAAGTTGTTAAGCATCTGCCTTTGGCTCAAGTCATGATCTCAGGGTCCTGGGATCGAGCCCTGCATCGGGCTCCCTGCTCAGCAAGAAGCCTGCTTCTCCGTCTCCCACTCCCCCTGCTTGTGTTCCCTCTCTCTCTGTGTCTCTCTCTGTCAAATAAATAAATAAAATCTTAAAAAAAAAAAAAAAGAAAGAAATAGGGACGCCTGGATGGCTCAGTTAAGCACTGCCTTCGACTCAAGTCATGATCCCAGGGTCCTGGGATGGAGTTCTGCATTGGGCTCCTTGCTCAGCGGGGAGCCTGCTTCTCCCTCTGCCTGCCGCTCCCCCTGCTTGTGAGCACGCTCTCTCTCTCTCTCTGACAAATAAATAAATAAAATATTTTTAAAAAACAAAAAATAAAATAAATATCAGAAATAATTCTAACAAAATCAATTAACATTAAATTCATTTTTGTACAATTAACTTTTATCAATCATGATTTTGGGTTACTGGTAAACTCTTTTTTTTTTTTTTAAAGATTTTATTTATTTATTTGACAGAGACACAGCGAGAGAGGGAACACAAGCAGGGAGAGTAGGAGAGGGAGAAGCAGGCTTCCTGCCGAGCAGAAAGCCCGATGCAGGGCTCGATCCCAGGACCCTGGGACCATGACCTGAGCTGAAGGCAGACGCTTAACGACTGAGCCACCCAGGCGCCCCACTGGTAAACTCTTTTAACTACCTGCTCCCTCCCCCATTCCTGAGCCCTCACTTCTGGCTTTGTCTCATTATCTGCACACTAAAAGGGTGTATGGTATAAGGAGAAAAAAGTATGTTAAAGAATATAAAAGGCCAAGATATTTTAATTTATACATGCACACGCAATATTCATTCACTGAAAAGATTTTCCAAATAAAAATATATCCATTACTTTCTGCAGAAAAAAGTCCAAGGGATCACCCTGGGCCAGACATTGCTGGTGAGCCTATATAGCGAGAAAGGAGCCTACATCTTGGCAAACTTCACAGAAGTGACACCATCTACACAGATGCAGTTTTCACAAATTCAATTAAATCACAGAATCACCATGATAGTAAGCATCATGATGGGTAATCCAGTCCATTTTACTGTCTCCTGGAAATTATTTAGGACTTACTACATAAATATAAATGAGAAAGGAGTAAAAGGAAGACTAAACCTAGAGGAATTTCCTCAAATAAGAGAAGAAACACAAGTCAGCAGAGACAAAACTGCTTATAGAAACAGTCCCTGCATTCCTTTCAGATGTTTATGCAAAATGCTGTCAAAGAGCATCCAAGTAAAGAATCACAGAAGGAAAGGCTGGAAAAGCAGTTCTAGGACCAGGAGAATGTAGATGTCCTTAAACGTTAGGTTTAGGAGTCTGTATAGTAGTATTTATACTGGCAGTAATGAGGGTTGTTACAGGTTTTCTAAACAGGGCAAAGGGTAGAATGTTCCAGAGAGACTTCTCTGGCTTCACTGTATAGAATGAAACCAGAAGCAGGGCATCTTCTGCAATTAACCATAAGATGAAGACTGGGATTCAGTGAGAACTGAATGGCTGTGAGAACAACAAAAAGATGGATACAAGTGACCTTATGAAGAAAGACATCAACAGGTGTGGAATATACCACCACCACCTTAAGATGTAACTCCATAGGTTACCATTTCCTTCAAAAGCGTTTCTAACCTCCCCAGGCTCTTCTGAATTCCCATAGCCTTCTTCAAACCATGTTATCTTATAATTTACCTTTTCATGGTATCTACTCCATCTCCCCAGCTGAACACCTAACTCTTATGCCAAAGAGAATCTGGCATATTTCTTTTATTAGTAAGTATTTGCCCAGCATCGTTCCCTATAGACAATTTCCCTTCCCCCACACCACGTGATTCTGCTGAGGCGTCCC